GTGGCTCGTCTAGCCTTGTTCAGTGACCGTTCTGGTCACTGAACTTTTTTCCCCCATTTTTTTACTATAAATACCCCCTTCCCCCAAAAAAATTTTTTCATATCAGTCTCTTCCAAGATTACAACTTTTTCAAGTCTCAACTATCTTTTATTATATCAATTATCAAGTTTTTACTCTCTTGTGCTGCAAAATATACAATATCAATTCAATTTTTTCAGTTTATTAGTTACAATTTCAATTCATCCAATTCTCAATTCTCACAATCTCACTACATTTATATTCATCTAGTCAAGATTTCATCATAAACAATCACAGAAATGGATCAACGTTCATTTGTTGAGAGCTTGTTCGATACAGGATGTGAGCCATTGTCACATCATGGAGAATCGCCTAGTACGCCGCAAAGTTAATTTCCAGATGAATTTGTCGGTCTAAATGACATATCGATACCTGAAGATATTCACATTTACGGTCAGGGAAGCCACATTCCAATTGATTTGGATGATATTAACGTTCTCGAAGCGGAACATGAAGATGAAGATCAGCAATTAAATATCCCAGATGCAAGGGGAAAGCGAAAGGCCAAAAAACAAGCAAAATGTTGGGATCACTTTAAGTTGATTTCAACGGGAAAAGTCGTTGATGGCCTTGCAGAATCTAAAGCAGTATGTAAATACTAACAATAAAGATTGGCATGGCAAAAAAGAATTGGTACCACTCATCTCAACCGCCACTACAAATCATGTGTAGCCAGACATGGACTTCTTCCAGCTGGTCAAACACAATTACAATTTGGCAGTCCAGGCGTCGGTTCTACAACTTCATCCCTATCCACATGAGTGTATTCGGAGGACGAGACTCGAACTGGAATGGCGAAATTTGTTGCCGCCACTGAGTTGCCTCTGGCTATTGCAGACAACCAACACTTCATCTCGTTCGTGAAAGAATATCTACAACCGAGATACGTTGGGGTAAGTCGAAACACTCTTCGTGCCGATACAATAAATTATTTCAATAATTCAAAACAACAATTAATTATGGATTTGCAACAATATGGGGGTGTTATATCCTTAACTTCTGATGTATGGGAAGGGGTTAATAAAAGAGCATATATAGCTGCAATCGCACACTATATAGACCCACTTTGGTGCATGTATAAGAAAATTATTGCTTTTAGAAGTATTGAATTTCCTCACAATGCTAATAATATATATAATGTTATTATCAGTATTGTTAGAGAATATCATTGTGAGAGTAAAATTCGATCTTTTACTTTTGATAATGCTAGCGTTAATAAGGTAGTCGTCGATAAATTGTGTAGGACACTTCAATATGATTTTGGTGGGTATTTATTTCATATTCGTTGTGTGTGTCATATCTTGAATTTAATTGTGCAAAATGGTTTAAAACATATAAAAGATGAATTTCAAAGGATTAGGAATGCATTAGTTTATATTACGATCTCTCCTAGTAGAAAACAAGTATTTGAAGATTTTTGTGCCGAGCTAGGGGTGATGACTGCTAAAATATTTGTTAGCGACGTAGGTCATAGATGGAACTATACATACTTGCTATTAAAATCATGTGAAGGTTTCAAAAATTTAATAACTGACTTTTATAATAATAGACATGTTAGAAGTGATGATGATGGTATGTTAAATGAATCCGATTGGATTTTAGTTTTAAAAGTTAAATGATTTTTGACATCTTTTTATGAGACTACAAAGATTTTATCTGGCATTTATTATCCCACAAGTTGTATGGTGCTTGAACGCCTTTATATAATTGCAAGAACATTCCATAAATATAAAAATGATCATACTTTTAGTGAAATTTTAATTGCTATGGAATTAAAGTTT